TAGTGTGTGTGCGTGTGTGTGTGTGTGTGTGTGTGTGTGTGTGTGTGTGTGTGTGTGTGTGTGTGTCGCACGCCAGCTGGCACACTCCTTGTCTGATGGTGTGTCTGCCATACGTACTGGGAGGAAGGTCGCAGGGTCACAGGGCCACGGGGTCGCTGGGAGTGCACTGGAGAGGGAGGAAACAGGCTTAATCTCAGAAAGGCTGGCAGCTTCCTGTTCTGAGTGCAGGGTACATAGAGGACACTGTCTTAACTCTGGATACCCAGCAAGTGAGTTTACTATGTAATTCAATCAGGATTAGTCCACTCACGCCCTCTAATAATATGGGGAGAGGGAGGAGGTCAGAGGTTTAAATCAGTATCTTGGTTGAAATCGATTTTGCATCCAGAGAGGTTCTTTTTTGGCCTGGCCATGTGTTTGTAGTTTCTTTAAGCATAATTGGAATGAATTTTTTTTTAAACTTTTTTTTAACAAACTTTTACTGTGTAAGAAATGCATCCAAATTTGTAAGAAAACAGAAAATGTGGCATTGTTACAACAGTTCGAAAATTAAGGCAACAATTTTTTTCTTATCTGGGGTAGTTAACAACCCAACTACAAGAATAATTTTATTTACCCATCAAAGTTGTGATTCTTATGTTCATGTGTTTCTAATAAGAAGATGTTGTTGTACTGGAGTTTAGTCCTTTTTGTGCTGAGTAAAACTTAAAAAATATGGGAACGGAAAATTCAAAATAAGAAAAAAGAAATGCAAATGAGCCGCCAAATGATTTCTTGTTCTGCAAGCATGTTTTGAAACAGCCTAGTTCAGATGTTATGCATTCTGACTGTACAGTAAGTAACTGTTGTAAACTTTGTCATCCCTGCATGCAACAGCCTTGACCGCAGGCATAATTATTTAGAGTTTAACGCTGTTTGTCTGTCCCATTCTAATACATTTCTTCAAATTTGGTCCAAATATCCACTTGGACTCAAGTGGATGAACTGATTAGAATTTGTGGTCTAAGGAAAAAGTCCCTGTGACCTCAAAATCAAATATTTGGCCAAATGAGAAGAATTCACTTGCTAATTAGGACAATTTCACACAAAAGCTTGAAGTGACTTTTGGGAAAAACAGATTTAACTTCACCTTGACTTCTTTTGTTGGCATATAACCAGACGTAACTAATGTTTTTAAAAATCTATATAGATTATATACCGCAGACTTATGTTTGCGATACATTCACAATTCATAGAGAATGCTGCTCACTAACTAGCCAATTTCCAGTGCTAAAATTGTTGTATATCTATTTGATTAAGCATTCAAAATCCCTAGAACAATTCAAACAATGAAAATGTCTATCAACTGACTTCTATTCATAATAACAAATCCTATGCGTGTACATTTTGGATATGTTTGAGGAAATGCAGGATATAAGCCTGGGTTCAAGACTGAGTGGCCGGGTTAGAGGGCCGGAGGTCAGAAGAGGAGTCCGGGAGATAGCATTTTTTTAATCTGTATGAGGATTTTGAGAAAGAATGACTGCAGTTCCAACTAAACTGAGAGGAGGATGATTCACACTCATGTGTAGGAGTCAGTGTCGCAAGTGGACAGAGATATGACTAGACTGTTGCAGTTAAAGGAGGGACAGTCAAACTGTAGTAGCAAGATGTTATTCTCAGGCAAGAATTTAAATCATGGCCTGGAGGAGTGCGTGGCTGTGTTTGGGGTTTCTCTTTAGGTCAAACCCAGTGTTGGATAGAGGTTGGGCATTAGGGTGCATGTGAGAATATAAAGAGGTGGGGGCTAAACTTGACTAGATTGGATGCAGCACTTTGGATGAACCCCAAGTGTCAAAGAGTGAATGCAACCAGACTAAACATTGGTTTGGGGACTATTTGGGGAAAAACCCTGGTTTATGTTCATTAGTGAAGGTTTTTCATGAATGGTAGCTACAGTTTGGCAACTTCACCACAAACAAAACCTTTCTTTATTAATTACTCACCCTTTGTTACCTTGAATTCTTGAAGAGAAAAATGGTAGATGGACTAGAATAGTGATCGTATTCAGAAGTTTCTTATGATGCAATCCCCTCAACATCAAGATACATGGTTCTCTAATACATGGTTATTGGGCTACTGTAAGAAAGTAACTCCCAACCACCTTCTGTTTGCCAGTGAGTTTCACTTTCTAGTTTTACTTCATCTTCAAGTTGTTTTTGTTGTAAACCTTGTTTTTTTTTTACTCTACTGCAGTTTCATTATAAGAATTGTTAATACATCTCCACCTTTTCATACGACAACCTTCAGTTGTTGCATTGCTCATAGTTCATTTTGAACGTTTCTATAACCAAACTACATCCATTTCCCTTTCAGTAACACAAGTGACCAATCGTTTTTAGCTAGTTCAAATTGAAAAGGTAGTCATATCTATATCATCTCACAGTAGGCTATACTTTATCTCGTGAAGGAATCTAACCCACTGATCATGTCGACTGTGTGGTTATTTTTGTTATCAGTAATGCTCACGGAGCGGAAGTGTCACAGCTGTTGCTCGGTTGCACCTCTGTCATGCCTCCATCAGCATTGCTATGTCACATGGATGGTATCTTTTTCTGGTTAACCTTAATAACCCTTAATCAGATCATACTCATAACTCTATGACTATCACCATCAAATTAATAAGGGGGGTTACATGTATCTACACTTAATAACCCACTTGCAAAGAAGATGAGGAGTTTCTTTTTTGATTTACAACTCAGAATTTCAGGTCAATTGCCAAATGATATCATTCAGCGCTGAAGTGTTATTTCTGACTCATGTTTTACAAAAGCCACTCTTGCTTTTAAGCCGAGTCTGCAAGAAATGGTAAGTGTCTGTGTTTCCTCCAAACTCACCACTAAAAACAGATCCAAGCTCTGAGGCAAACCGGCAGGCCAATTTTTGGAGAAATCTGCTTTTTCAGTGCGGTCCTTGTACCAGTGTATGGCAGAGAAGACCTAATGTCTAATAACACATCCTTACTTGTCTTTTTATTGGCTGTACAGCTGGTTTTGAGCTTTAGTGGTATAACAGTACAGTTCAAGTTCTCTGCAGATGATTACTGGACCAACATAAAAGCTTGTTGAATGAGGAAATGGGTACCAAATTACTATAATGTGATCTGGGTGGATTACCGTAGCACTCCGTTCATATGAAACAGAACTAATCTAACATGAGAGCCTTGCATACATTGTTTGGGTTCACCTCCATGTCTGACTATATCAAACACTACACAGTAATAAAATGGCATATCCCCAAGCTCCGAAAAAAACAAACTACATAATGAAAAAGCCCAGAGGAAAACAACTCAGGGGAAAGTTGTATCACTTTTCAAATGAGTAACAGCTCTCACAGACTGGAGGGTGTACGAATGCTGTCACTAACAGTGATAGAAGTCGCAGTGCACTACAGCAGGGCAACACTTTAGGTCATGTAATTACAGCATTACCACATAATGAGAGTCATTTGTACTAATCACAGGGGCCATGCTGACTCTCAGAAGAGCCGCTATAGAAGCAGGAAGTCCCGCTGGGAAAAGCTGGAGACCTGCAGGTGCACCATCAAAGAGGCAGACAAATAACTGTTTACTGCAGCACACCTAGGACCAAATTGTTCCCGTCCCACTGATGGTCCATCGTTTCTTTCTGCTGCCATTGCTTTAACTCCCTTTCCTCCTATGTTTCTCAATAAATGTTTGAATTTAGTTGGATGATTAAATCTCTCAGACTGTCCACATACTGTATAGGATGTCTATATCTTTGAACAATGTGCGTCCATACTAATGAAGCTTATCGCAAGTTCAATTCAGGAAGACCAAGCTCTCCATTCATATTACACGTCACTTCTTTACCCTCTCCTCCCTCATTAAGTGACCGGGGGCGTCACTCCCCAGCTTACCAATAACTCCTCTCTCCATTCTCACAAGCCTATCGTTGCACCCCGCTAATCCCTTTATATCTGCTCTTCCCTCTTGTCAGCTGTCATTTCAGGTGACAATACGCAACCCTCCTCCACCCCTCTCGCCTCCCGTCTCCTACAGGACCAAGCTAATCCTTCTCCCTTCAGACCGGTCCCAGGTGGGACCGGTCTGAAGGGAGAAGGATTAGCTTGGTCCTGTAGGAGACGGGAGGCGAGAGGGGTGGAGGAGGGTTGCGTATTGTCACCTGAAATGACAGCTGNGACAGGGAGAGAGTGTGTGTGCTTTAAAATGTTCAAGTGGTTTATCAAACCCCCTTTTAAATAATTGTGCTCTTTTAGTGAAGCCAGGGGAGCTATTTAAAAGCTCCTTATCTTCTCAAGGGAGGTCTTCAGGGAGGGAGACAACTTGATTGAATAACTTTATTGATTTAACCAAGTAGGCCTAAGTAAAAGGTGTACAATTAAAGAATGCCTGCTTACACTGTAACCCCCTCCTTCACAAATTACAGCCAAAAAAGCAAACACGAACTGAATTTGGTTAGCGTCAGATAAAATAAAAGACTGTATTTGACATGAAAACATGTAACACATCTTGGTGTAATCAGTACAATCATAGCGTTAAACGTATTTCCAAAGTTGGAGTGCGCTGACTGATCATAAATGCAAGATCGAAATGGCTGCCTGTCTCTTTAAGACGATGTGTTGAGAAGTTCACGTCGGGGTCACTTAAAGTTCCTGCCCTCGAATTTACCTTTAAGTTTTATTATAGACTGACATCACACGGGGCGCTAAAACACTTAAGGCGCATAGAGGCTCCATTATCATCCCGGTGCGCGTTATTGCTCCGTCTCAAAAATAGCTAAGGAAATTACTAGCAAAAAAAGGAGGAAACTGATGCTGGTATAAGCACGTATTTTTATAGGAGGGGATGAGAAAGAGGGGAGAGGAGGGGCAGCAGAGACACACAGAAAGAGGGAGAGGGAGGAAAGTGGGTGGGAGGACGGACCTAAGGAGCGACAAGAAATTCATATCAATTAATAATCATAAAAAAAGAGCTGGCAGACGCGCTCGGAAAACTGGCATGGTTTTTTGGAGGCTGGCAGTTCAAAGCTGAAACGTCAGATATGACTCCTAGAGACTGCTGAGATGATCATTAAGGGAGACTTAGATCGGATGGCAGAAGACATCGGGCATGCAGGTAAGAACAGATACGATGCACACACGCAGGCACCCAAACAAGAAAGGGGCTATAGGACATTTAGGATTGTATTCATAAAACTGTGGACCGCATGCGAAGAAATGTGTTTCTTATTTAAACGTTGTACAATACGAGTATTTTAAACAATGCAGTATCTGCTTTTTATTTCAGTGCATGGTTAATAATTGTGATAACGACAAGCAAGGCCATGCTACTCCCTTTTTACTTTCATTTTATTTGAGCCGGTTGGGAAACGAGCAATTCTTTCTTCAAATGATAAAGTATCCATATAATTTTTTTTAAAAGTCAGTAAATGTGTAAAATCATTCCGGATAAGTCACATAGATCACTATCGTGTCTCAGAAATCTGAAAACATTATGCAAAAAGTTTCGATTAGCCTACAAACTAACAGAAGTCTGTGTCATTGAAATAAAAACTGATCTTTCTTTTTTTTAAACAAATGAAATACTTTTTAGTTTTGAACTCAGCTTGAATGCAAAAGTTAAAGGGAACATCGACGAGCGTTTAAAGGTAACTTCAGCATATTCGGTTATCCCAATAATACATTTAAAAAGGAAGCAACAGTGAAATCATAATTATGCATCAATGTCGAAATTAAAACAGGCCAATCACTGTGTAATAATGTTACCACTGAGATCAGGCGAAACACGCAACAAATTATATGCTGTGAACACTTTTGTTTTCTGGTTTCTTTTGTAAAAGCCGAGATGTTAATACGCGTATTAGAGAGAAGCTGCTCAGTGATGTTGACAGCAGCTGTCTGATGCACCTTGAAATACAATGACCTGAAAACAGGTCGGTTTCTGAGGTGATTTAAGACTCGCAGATACAGTGGAGGTTTGAAGAATGAGGCGCTGCAGCTCAGAGAGATGGACTCACTCGTGATTCTGTTTACTGTGTACAATATGTGTAGACTAAGGAGTAAAACAGATTAGAAGACGCGTCCTCTCTGCGACACACAGTCAGCAGACAAATTAATGCTTTGCTTGCAAAACGGGACGTAAGTACTGAGATGTGAGGCAATGGAATCTTCTCCACAGGCGAAAACACATGCATAACCTATAGGCTACCGTAAATATAATGTACTTTTAACAATTATAAATTCAAAACAAGTTAATTAAAATGGAATTATCTGATGTAAAACCTGCACGTCATCAAATGATTGTCAATCCAAAAAACGTGCAATGTATCCCGTTAATTCCCTACCTAAATGTCATTAATATGATTATACGTGACCTGTTGCTTAAAAAAACGACTAAGTTCCGATCAGGGATAGGACACTGTCATGCTTCCGACTGTTTTATAATTTTATTTTTATTTTTTAGATTTGTCTAAAATTTGCATTAATTATCCTCGATATTTGCTAACCTGACTAATACTCAATTTATTTGCCCATCATGCTGTTTGTCTAACTTTGAACTCCTTCAATTTGCCTGCATGTTTGCCTCTTGTGAATGACTAATTTAATTAATTAAAGTAGATAAGACTGTTAACATCTTTAACATTTTTTTAAACTGATCTTGTATTGCTGTGTTTCTTCATAAAATGAATGTGAACGGTATATGAATAGGATTAAATGCAGGATTGTAATATAAGGCGATGAGCATGCAGTCAGCAATTATATTGAAAGACAATAAAGTGTCAAAACAATGTTTTAAGCAGATGTCTGGAGTGTTTATGCACTGAAGCTGCATGTAGAGGTATAGGAAGTTTAGTCTCGTTCACTCAAAACCCCAAAAGTGACATAAGAGACAAAACACAGGTACAATAAATATGAATCTAATGCAAAAATAACTGAATAACCTCATCGTCATAAATGACATCCCCATAATGTAAGTTTCCTTAACATGGGTCATTATCATATGGAAACAGCTCATAAGGATTCAAGTAATGTGCAACCTAGAAAAATGATTCAGTTTAGCCTGTTTAACAAACAACCTGTAGTTTATGATTTTAACATTGCATGTAGCAGGCTTGTCCTGAGACACTTTTCTGACTTATATCATTGCAATCAGATGGCTTCCGAACAGGATGCTGTGAGCTTACTCTTGCCCTAAAGATCAAGAGTTTTATACAACATGTGTTACTCTGATCTTTCACTTTTCTGTCAGTAAGCTAGATCAAACAGTGAGCTCAGAAATGTAAAAAAGCACATTTTATCTTCTCAAAAGACTCTGATCATATAATGACAGAAAAGAGACTCTTATTGTCTTGATGGGAAACCCACAGAAACCCTGACTGTTGTCACCACAAGACATTAACGAAAATATTTTTTGATATGCACATTGCAGGCGCACAGACATGTTGCTCGGTGCATGAGACCTTCCCTGTGTCATAAAAAGGTTTTTAAAAAAATGTGGATATATGAAATGTGTATTTAAATGTCTTATACTCTTTAATAGAAACATGTGTAAGAAGGCCTAATTTTTCTGATGTGCTTTATGATGCAATAGATCTGTGTCACATGATACAGCGCTGTAGACCTCATAGAGACGAGTGTACACTGATTGTGTGTGTGTTAGTACACAACGTGTCACCACGCAGAATAACCAGCAACAGTAAGCTAAACATCCCTTAGTGCAATGGCGACTGCAAAAGTTCAGCACGCTCTTGAAAGTACTTGGCCTATTCCTCATATCACCCTCACTTGTAAACATGTTTGATCTGACCGACGCTGAAATTTATAGTAAAATATGACCGTTGAGTAATCAAAGCCAGACAGAAACCAGAAGTGGAAACACTTTAGATGACAACTGGGAACATGATGGAGCGTAAACCTACCTAAACCTGTCTTACTCGCCTTTTATTAATAGCCTTTTATTGTTCTTTAACAAAATAATAGATAACAAACTCTTTTCAAGTCATGGATTTAGATGTTTAGATTTAAGAAAAAATATATTCCTATTTTTTTCTTTCATTTTAATAACTGGTTTATCAAGGATAACTTTTTTTTCTTATGTTATAGGACTAACGCTTAACATGAATTTAAGAAAAGAGAGGGGAATTGTACTAAGAAGTGACCTTGGGTTTAAGACGTGTACAGTTTTATCAGAAGGGCATTGCAAGAGAAGCTACCTCTTTTTTGTTCAGTATTCGCCAGAATCAGTTACTAAATCATGCGTCAAGGTTTATTTTATTTAAATACCTACTTCCCTATTCTGTATTTAGCGTGTACACAGAATGAAATAAACAAGAAGAGAATGAGCTGATGACAGGAAGACCATGATCAGACGGATGACATGATATTTATTTAGTCGCTTGTTTCCCATCAGTGAGACTAAACCCTTAGGGATAGTTTGAGACGTGTAATGTCATAAGTAAACTATCCTCAGATGCCACTGATTGAACAATACACGGTGCGGTGTCTCATGCATTCAGCTGATGTAGTTTATTTTAGACTCGATGGAACAATTAGTGTTGACATTAGAGTGGATTGGGTGTGTGCATATGTGTGTGTATGCATTAGACTCCTAGAGGCCATCTCAATGTAACATTTTGAACCAAGTAAAGTTGATTCACATACCATGCGCTCGGTGTTCCTTATATGACTGGGCAGAAAGGGGAGCGAGAGACCAATCTTCTTTTGGATGTGTCTGTTCCCTACAGGTTTTTATACCTGCTGTTCATCATACTTGTGAAACATTCATCCCTTGTTTTGTTTAAAACTCTGCGCACCACTTTTGGAAAACTTTCAGCAAGCCAGCTAGTTACAGTACAAAATATTTATCTGGTGTTCTCTCAATTTTGTTCTTTCTTTCTTTTTGCTCGCTGCAGAGGAAGTGAATGCATATTCTTGAATTTCTGATAATGAGAAAACCATTGCAGCAGTTCACCTTTTGCAAAAGTTCACTTCTACTAAGTTACCTTCGTATGCACTTCCCTTGTATGAGTTCTGCACACAAGTTCCAACATATGGAATTAATGAATTATACATCAATATGTAAACTGTAAATTATTAATATAAATGTGCATAAAGATGCAATTTAATTAAGTGATGTGTTTTTAGAAAATAAAGGTTATAAATGAATTCCTCTATTTTAATCCTCATAAATGTATGTGTATGCAAAAGAACATTTTCTCCTATAATCGACTTGATGACTTTAGTTTTTTTATGTCAATCAAAACCTTTGGCACTCAAACCTCTCAAATATTTGTTATGTGTAATTATGTTATTTGATGTGTAAATAATAATTTCCAAAGATTACATTTTCTAAAGTGCAACAATAATCATTCAAATTAATCAAGAAAATTACATAAAAAAGTTGTTGTGTTTGGAAATGCTGACTGCCGCATGATGTTTTACAGATATCTGTTGTTGCAGGTGGCGGACTGAAGACGATGCTGGATGCCATGGATGTTCCAAGTCATGCTAGGGATCTCCTCCTGCAGCTCAACAGCCAACGAACCAAAGGCTTCCTGTGCGATGTTATCATTGTTGTGCAGAACGCCCTCTTCAGAGCTCACAAGAACATTCTGGCTGCCAGCAGCCTCTACTTGAAATCTTTGGTGGTCCATGACAATCTGATCAACCTCGACCACGAGATGGTGAGTCCAGGGGTCTTCAGGGTCATTCTGGACTACATCTACACAGGCCGCCTTAGTGAGGGAGACCCCACTTCTCCTACTGAACCCAATCTAGGTGCTGTGTTGGCAGCAGCCAGCTACCTCCAGCTGCTTGACCTGGTGGCTTTGTGCAAAAAGAAGCTGAAAAGAAATGGCAAGTACCCTCCCCGGCCTGGGCCTGCATTTCTGCCTTACCCAAAGATGGGCCCCAACAGTATGGGTTTAGGGAGTGGTGGCAGGTATAGGATTTCCACTCCTGTCATTCAGTCCTGCCCTCCAGGAGGAATTTTGAATATCCATGCAACGCGGGCATCACCACCAGAAGAGCTAGTTCCCCATCGGATAGCCATTCATGCTGGGGAGCTGTATGCTCCAACCTCCATCCAAGGCTCTCAGGTGTTCCCGTCCCTGCAGTCAGCTCTGCCTGCCCAGCTGGGGCGCTCAGCCCACCCTGGAAGGAACTGCTCCCCAAACCACGGCCTTGATCTCTCCAAGAAAAGCCCCAACTCCCAGTCTCAGCACACACCCTCTCAATCCCATTTGGCAAATTCTCACAATGATGAGGAGCGAGACGGGAACCTGAGCGGTCGCACCAGTCCCATGCAGGGGACAAACGGAAGGACTTTCCCCTCAGAAAAAATGGATTCAACTGACCAGGCAAGCTCTCTTACTCCTCCACCATTCCCCCATATCAACCAGGCTCTGGGCCCCCACCTCCCCCACCTGCATCGACACCAGGGCCGGGATCGCTACCCATGCCCCCCCAGCCCTGATACCCCAACAGAAGGCGGAGAAGCAGGCAGAGATATGGGCAACATCTACCGCTGGGTGAAACATGAGCCACTTTCATACACAGCAGAAGATGAAGATGAGGATGAGGATGAAGAGGAAGGGGGCGAAAATGGAGACCGGCATCATAACCATCACAAGGCCGGGGAGGAGAGTGAAGGAGCCGACGATAAGAGCGGGTCAGGCACAGAGGAGACGGGCAGTAGTGAAGGCCGCCCATCGCCTTCTGGACCAATGGGGAGGTTCCACATGCCATATGAGCCAGAGAGCTTTGGGGACAATCTGTACGTCTGCATTCCCTGTGACAAAGGCTTCCCGAGCTCAGAGCAGCTCAATGCACACGTGGAGACACACACGGAAGAAGAGCAGTACTGCAACTCAGGTGGGGAGATGGGAAACGGCAATAACGGCCCCAAAAACATGAGCAGTAATACAAACGGTTATGGGGGCCTGAACAGCAGCAACAGTCTCTCCCACCTGGAGTCCAAATCCAGCCAAGCGCTGAGTTCAGGGGGGATCGGGGAAATGATGCGACCCTACCGCTGTTCCTCCTGTGAGAAGTCCTACAAAGATCCAGCCACTTTGCGGCAGCACGAAAAGACCCACTGGCTGACCCGGCCTTACCCCTGCAGCATCTGCGGGAAGAAGTTTACGCAGCGCGGCACCATGACGCGCCACATGCGTAGCCACCTGGGCCTTAAACCTTTTGCCTGTGACTCCTGTGGCATGCGCTTCACCCGCCAGTATCGCCTCACTGAGCACATGCGCATCCACTCAGGGGAAAAGCCCTACGCATGTCAGGTGTGCGGAGGAAAGTTTGCTCAGCAGCGCAACCTCATCAGCCACAGCAAGATGCACAGCAGCGGGGGGAGTGCAGGGGGCCTGACCACAGATGGGAAACTGAAGCTGGACTTTTCTGAGGGCATCTATCCACTGAGTAAATATGCAGCAGAGCATTTGGGCCTGAAGCAGGAGAAGGCCAATGAGCTCCTAATCCAAGCCCAGCAGCAACTGGTAGCTGATGCAAAGGTCATGGAGAGCCTCTACCCGCTGTCCAAACTGGCCGCAGAGCACCTCGGTATCCCCCTCGACAAGATGGATGTCATGGGCCAACCCCTCCTCCCTCCCCTCTCTGATGGCCGCATCATTGACCGTTACTCACCCAGCTAAAAGCACATGAGCTGTATAAACAGCAGTCACCAATAGGTCTGTGTGCACACACAATTGCAGTATTCTAAAGCCTTTCACCTCAACTCCATATCTCCTCTGCACCTCAGACTCAGGCCGAGAGGAATTGGTCTGCTCATGCACACCAAAAAGTGTAGACTGTAAGTGCCTTTATATGCATCTAATGTATCTTAAAATCCTCCTTCATAAGGGAGCTCTGTGCTATTCCGTGACCAAGAGACACTTATTCAAAGAAGTACAGTATTTATGTACAGTGTATGCAAACAAACATTTCAGTCATTGAGCCAAAGTGACAATTTGAAAACCAAAATGAAATTGTTTTATTTATTTTTGTATCATGATGAAATCCAAACAGAAACTTTTGCAAGGAAGTGTTGCAATATGACCCTAAACCTGTGTAATATTTAGTATCACCTGTGTACAAAAAAAGGAAAAAGCACATAAGGACAAGATTCAGTGTTTTGGTCGAGACCTGAGCAGAACTTTTGCAAAATGAATAAGCCAACTCATGTGGACTTTAAAGTAATGGGAGCATATATGTTTTTTTTTCTTCTTCTGTTTTTGGGGCGACTGGACAATTTATGTATTTCACTCTCCAGCTTATCCAAATCATGTTCCTGCCCCTAAAGTCACAAGGAAATGACTGAACGATAAGAGCAGTTGCCTCAGCATTTTAGTAAAGTCTCATCAGTTTTATTTTCTCCACTTTTTTAGTGTAACCCGCTCTCCCACATATCTTTGTGGATTAAGACTCACACTATGTGACAGTAATGGTAGCTTAATCAGCCTTACACTCAGCGGCCTACAGCTAAAACTTCCTTTGTATTTTGCCTCACATCCCTTGGCTTTCAGTTGTTGTTGAGATGCAGTAAGCTCAGCCCTGTGATCTCATAACTCGGACATGATCGCACATACCCAACTGCTGACACATAAGTGCCTGTGAAGAGTGTAGCTGCATCTCATGGTGTAGACTAAGCATGGGTGTTGCCTCTGACATTTACAATTATGGATGCAGCAAAGCAGAGAAGCAGGGACCAGGTCAAAATTAACGGCACTGAAATCTGTCATTAACTGTCAAAATCAATTATTCCATTCACAGCAGCCTGATGAAAAACTGCGTAGCGACACAAGTCATATGTCGCATTGCTGCTCCACTCTCTGTAGTCTGAGGCCGGGAGCCCAGCTACTGTTGACAGGCCAAAGTGAGTGCTGCACTCAGCCCTGTGCCTTAAAAGTGTTCTGATACGCTCACCACACGCCTCTTCCACACTCACACAGCGAGCTGCTAATCTGTCTGTGATACGAACATAAGAAGGGGTTTGTGGGTCTTCCCTGGAAGCCAGCGGGTGAACAGCACAGCCCAGCTGCTGTGCCTCAGTAATCCCCTTGAAATCTCACTTTCTCCTGGACAATTCCCACTGCTTGCCAGCATGATGTCCCATTTCATGCCTGCAATCTTGCCCCTGTGATCCACTCATCAAAATCATATTTAAGCCCAGCTAATGTCTAAAGGCCTCGCCTCCTCCACGCTGGTCTTTTTTTATACATATTTCAGTATTGGCTGACCAGCGATAACTCTGTCTTGAAAACAAAAAGCACTTAAAGGTTGTGGGTTGCCGGCACATTTATAAAAAAATATGTTTATTCCAAAGAACATTCTGGCATTTTCTTTTTCCATTTGTACTACTCCTTGATTTAGATTAGACATGTCTGACCACTATAGTGCCAATGCCAACCTCAGTGGGTGAATGTGAAGACTAAAGCCATAAATACACTGTGATTGACGTGGTGAATTTTAAAGGCTAAAAGAAAACAGACAATTTGCCTGACCTTTTTATTTTTTTTTTTTTTTTTAAATGTAATTATAATTTAAGGGCTTCTTCTCTGTAGAATATCAAAATGTTGTTTTCTGTCACTTACTTTTCTTTATTTGATTTGAGCTAAAAGCAGCGCACGTGAAACTGGTGCTTACCTCAGGACTGAACCCAGCATGGGGACGCAAAGCTTTTCTAAACCTTCAAACACACACACACACACACACACACACACACACACACACACACACACACACACACACACACACACACACACACACACACACACACACACACACACACACGCACACGCACACAAACACAAATGAACAACCTTTTTCCCCTTATTAACAGGGCAGTTGTCCTGTGTTAAACCTGTGGTTATTTCTGTGTTTATACATTTCTTGTTACAGTTTTATGATCGGGAGATAACATGTGATATTATTAACAATTTTTTGTTTTTATTTTTACTATGCGGTATACATTTTCTATTGTGTTTCCTCAAAGAGGCTTGTGCCGATCTGACCAATTCCATTGTAATAACATAAGGTAAAGTCAGTTTGGCAGTTTGTTTAACTTTGTGATTTTCTGAACCACACTTAAGAGAGCAAGGTGGTATTCGTCTTTGTTTTCAACCACACACACAAGTATATGTGATAAGTGTTTTGAAAAGTATCAAATAGAGATGTATTCTCAGTAATTCCTCCAAGCAGTTATTTTACAGTTATAGTGAACACTAGCCACATTATTTGACCCCTTTCCTCCAGAGGTTAGTGAACAGTCAATGATGAGTGAGACTGAGGTTATACATCTACAAAAACAAACAGGAAGCCCGCTTGTTTTCTATGATCCTTCAAGTTTTGGGACTCTTTTGTTTAGCTCTGTACATAAAACCAGAATGTAGAGCTTTAATGAAACATTATTAAAAATGAGAACTTGCTTCACAAGCATGTGCAAACGTGTGAAACATTTAGAAAGAGGCGGATGTCTGTCGTGGGAATTTCAGTCCCTTCAGTCTTTCTCATTCACTAGCTTAAATGGAAATCTGTCTCCTCCTTCTCCCTGCCTTACACCATTAAAATAACACAATGTGTTTCCACTGTCACTCCAAATCTGTGCAGGAGGGAAGAGCGAGATAATGGCTGAACATTTCTGTAGGACGGGCAAGGAAATTTGCTTAATTGCATTTACGTGTACGACAGAAAGAGGTGGAGGCTATGTTCCTATAGAAAGGGGAAGCATTTGCTTGTCTGTTTGTATGTCCCTATGCCATCGGTGCGTATGAAGGTCTGTTAATGCATGTCCTGGGAATAGGGTTGGTGTAAAGGAGAAAAGCTGAGGAGCAGGAAGTGAACTTTTGGCTGGCGTGTTGTGTTGAGGAGGATGTGCCGTGTGTTTCTGCTCAGAGGCAGATAGAGAGACGGAGAATGGGGCGGGAGAGGAGCAGGGAGAGCGCAGCAGGGTGGACGCGAGCCATTGTCTCAGTATGAAAGCCTGTTCGTACTTCTAAAACTCTCCATTCAGAAAACAAGAAGACTGTATCTTCTCTTTTCCTTCCCTTTCTGCTCTTTGGGAATAGACCTCTGCTCAGTATCACGGTGATACAACATTGTGTTCTTTTAAGGGCTGCGCAGCGAGGAAGCCATTCAGACATTTTGTTACACTTTGAGGATGTCGTGGATAAAATAGTTTGGCATAATTCTGTGCACATAAATTCCTTACAATATATTTTCCAATATATGTCGATAACATTTTTTATTGGGGCTGGAATATTTAAGGCAAAATGCAAGGCAAAACAACTGGGTTGTAAATCAGATTTAAAAAAAACTAGAAGTAATTGTATTGCTCTGTGGTTGATTCAATTAGTAATTACAGCAATTATAAAAGTCTTGTTTCAATTTACTCATGTAGCCACTCACCCCTTGGGTTTTAATGCCATACGCCTTTGTTAATGTTATTTAGATGACACTCTTTGCCACTAAAATTAGATAAAGATGTTTTGAAAGTAATATAATTATGCATTCAAAACAATTTATTTGTTATGTTAATTGATATAATAAAAATAAATGAATGCAAATATGAATGCATGTAAAAGACAAACCACCAACTATGACATGTGGGTTGATCATTTAATTGTAATATTAAGGCAACCATCCCAGCCCCTTAAATGTTATGATACTAACAATAAAACAGTAAAATAATGTCTGCATGATTTCTAGTGGCCCTGTAAAGACCAACAACGGTTTAAGGTTTAATGCTAAATGCAAAGTGTGCCTTTAAGCTTTCTAGCAACAAGCGGGCCGAGGTCACCTATGTGAGTCAGACAGGATGAAAAGTCCTGATCTGCAATCATACCGCCATTTGACATTTACTGTATTTTATAATATCTGCCAAAAGGGCTGAGGCACATAGCAGACATCGCAGATGCTCAAAACAAAACTCAGCATCAATCTTTGTAGTTTCCACGGGTTGCACTGTAGAGCTAAGCTTCTGACCACTTTTGCCTTTTATTGAAAGCCATTATATATATGGCTAATCTTCAGAGCACAGTTCACACATGCCACTATTGTCCAGTGTACATATTTATTTTTATGAGGACTCATGTATAAATGTAAGCTAGAGCCAAATAATATCAATAATCAAGCTGTATATTGATGTTGAAACCAAAAACATGTCCCTTCAGGATAACAAGCATTGATTATTCCGCAATAACTTGCTATGTGTATAACTGACGCCTGTGTGTGTAAGTGCGTAGCTGCGTGTGTCCACGTAGTGCACCTGTCCATTTACATGTCTGAACGCCTTTCCCACAGTAGAGCAGGGTGTAGCGCAAGAGAGAGCTTTGACACTTTCAAGAGTCTTTGTTACAAGCAGCTGCTTTAGATTTATTTCCCCAAACTGCACTTTTCTGGAAAAATCATTGTATTGTGATTTTTTATTACTCTTGTGATCCCCTAGAAGTCCCACAATTGCCTTTCTTCTGGCACTTTGCTTTCCTCCTCTTCCTCCCTCCAGTGCAGAGCTTGGCCACACTTGTTCACCGCCCTTGTTACCTCGAGGCACTGCTCCCTTCCTCACCTCTCCCTGTCCCTTCGCTCTTCTTACACTCAACACAAACCGCTGACCCCTTCCTCTTCCATGATCCACTTACTTCCAGCTGTTTTTCATGCTGAAGAAGACAGTTGTCTAAATGTTTACATGAAGAGCTACTCTCTTTTTCTTTAGGCCCTGATCAATTTCCAAAATGAACTTTGTGGCATGTGTTAAAATACAGCAGATGATGGGCCAAATAAAAAGAGCCTGACATCGTTGTTGTATTCTGAACCTCAAGCCAAGAAACAGCTTACAAAAGGGAGATTAAAGACAGCATATCATCGTAGAGGAAATGCAGAATAATGTGAGGGGAAATGTTCAGGGAAAATATGCTCAGAAAGATGCCAGTAAAGTAAACATGTATGAAATTGCACAATTGAGCCGGGCTTCGGCTGCACCAGCCAAGTCATGCACTGAGATGGAGAGAACAAGTAAGGGAGAGATGTTGAGAAGAAAAGAAGCAGAAACAGAGAGAAAACAGCTTGTGCTTGATAGTCATAATAACCTTGAGTTAATAACAAAGAAAAGTTGGTTGCTCTTCTAACGTTTTCCCCCCTCATTTTGTTCTGTTTTTACTCTATTTCATTTCCCTCTTTAAGGAAATTGTCTTGTGAGGAAATTAAGTTTTCTTTTCCTTTTCGTTATTGATTGCTTCGGGCCATTGTCAAGGGTTTTAAATGTTAATGTGCATGTCATGTCATCCTTTTTCCAGACCTAACAATTATCACCCAATCAGCACACGACCCACAGAAGGCTCTTTGTAGACGAATAGGGAAGGGGCTTCTGGCTGCCTGTGTCCTCTTCCATCTGTTAGACTTGGACCTCCATGTCTGTGTCTATCTTAAACACATGCAAAGACAGACTCAGTGGACTTTGGCTCAAATATTTTCTTTTACAACTTCTGCTCCAGAAGTTTAAATTTAAAGACAAACAAAGGACAAAACAAACAGGTATTTAGAAGAACTGGTCAAGGGGAATATTTGATTGTATATCTGGCATGCACACACACATACACACAGCTGCATGGCAGGCTGTTGGTCTACATTAGGTCAGATTTAATTAGGTTTCCCTGCTCCTTTTAGAGTGTCGCTTCTAGTATAAAAAGTCATTATTAAAGAAACGGTGATTCCCCTGACGGCTTCAACCCAACACATACTATAGGCTGTGCCAAAATGTTACAGAGCCTCAGGGTCCTCACACACACACACACACACACACACACACACACACACACACACACACACACACACACACACACACACACACACACACACACACACACACACACACACACACACACACACACACACACACACACACACACACACGTGCACTCAAGGATACATACGCTTTTATTTTGGTTTTGGAAAAAGGTTACGTGTTGAAATGATGGATTATGATCTAATGAAGATCACTGTTATGTTTCGGGGTTGTTGTACTCGACTGGTTGTGGTTCAGGGATTAGGAAGTTCAGCAGTAACAGACTGCCACGCAGACAGTGGTATCTGCGGATAGAAAATACATCACAAATGAACAATGGAAATGAGATTTTTCAGTGGAACACAGAATCTTATTTCAGCAGGCATAAAGCACACGTCCAAAAAGCATCAATAATGTTCAGTGTTTCATTTTGTGTGATTAAATACACCATAAAAACAATTTAAAGCAATACATAAAACCAAACAGTATTTCTGCATTTTCTACATTTCATTGTCAATATTGATCTTACTTTGCTTTAGTGAAATGAATGTATTTATTGCATGTCAAAATGTTTTATAGTTAATTTTTGTGTAAATGTCAATTGTGGGTTTTTATAATAATTTCATTTAATTATGGTGTCTTGATAAAATCATGTCGATAAGGCTTTTATTTTTTTAAAAGCCAATGTGAAAAATGTCATGTTTGTTTTGTTTGTTACTATACTCAAAATCAACTTGGCAATAAAGTAAATTGCATAACGGATTACATGAGGAAATGTGTCATTTTTCAATTAATGTACTGTGTTTTCACTTCTAATTAAAATAGAAATAATTATGCATGAATATTAATTTAAATAGTCATCATAATTCAGTTGGAAAACATTCCGTTTACCAATTTCCTAGATATGATTTATATTTACTTGAATTTAATTAACTATACTTACCCAATTTCCTCAAATCTTCCACCTTAAGCATTTTATATTAAACCATCCAATCAATCATTTTAATTTAAGACACATTTATTGTGCAGGATATGGGTTTCATATTATAGGAAAAATATGATACAGAAGACGACGATCAAGACCATTTCACAGCAATGATAACCGCAAAAAGGAGCAACTACTGTTCTTTTTCCTATAATACATTCGCCTTCAAGTCTATATTCTCCCACATGGAGACATGAGTGCCTCATTTAAGACAGAGAATTTCAAATGAATCTCATACATCACACACAGTCCACATGCAACAATGAACAGATCCATTACTCTGTCAGCAGGAGCTCACACACACACGCGTGCACACACACACACACGCGCACACACACACACACACACACACACAGACACACTTTTCCACTGTATGAAAATCACCTTATTATCACCAGCACGTAAGAAATCACAGTGCCTTCCAGATGTTTGATATGAATCAAGCAACTTCCCACAAATTACATCTTGACATTAAAACAAATTAGCATTTCTACTCTCAGGTGGTGTAAATCATCAACATTCATGAACTAGATGTGCTTCCTGAGAGCTCATAATCACCAGGTGTAATGTTAAAAACATTATCCGCTTTATGCAGTATGAACAGCAGGTGAAAACAAAAGGAACAGCATCACATTCATCATCTTCTTCATCCTGTTTCCCAATACTGGAATGCAGGCTCAGTTCTCTTTTAGTTGAAGGAGAGTTTTACCATCATAGTCTATAATGAAAACTCAAAACCCACATACCTATTTTTTCAAGAGCTTTCGAGGTGTGTTTTTTTATGATCTTCTCTGTTAGAACATTGTGCTAACATAAATGAATGCATAGAAACATCAAGGAAACAAAGGTTAATGAGTTAGGTTGTTGACTAGCCCAATGTTAAGACGGATTGTCTAAACCACTTTATTTGGTTGCTCGGTCCAAATAATTGCTTTGCGTTTGTCGGGGCGTGTTGCTTCAGGTACTGGTGTGACATGAAATACGATCCACGTAGTCCAGTATGAGCAAGATGTTGAAAAGCTAATCCAATGCCAAAATGCTGCACAGCTGTTTATGCCTTGCGAGACAGGATTTTACTCTGGGAGGTAATCACAGCGGTAACTATATTATCTTTATCGTGATGATTAGAAAGCAGGCAGCGTCAAAGTGCAACTCGCTGCAATAGCATATAATTCTGCAGCCCACAGGCTTGTTCTGTTTGGTTGATTGTACTCAGGGCAGTTCGCTGAGCTTGAAGCCGGCGTCGCAGC